AGAGAGAGAGAGAGCGATAGAGATAGAGAGAGAGAGAGAGAGAGAGATTATGACATCTTTGATTTATCCAAGAGTAACATGTTCCTGAATCAACATCCTTTGTTGGACCTGGAAGAACATTCCTATCAAACAGCCTTAAACCTTAAACCAGTGACAGAATTTTCCTATAGTAGTCCCATGATCATCATCCTTGTTCATTCTGGAATATCATCAGGGATCCTGGAATATTTATCAACCAGATTTTAGGGCCTTGGACAAGAAAGAAAGAAAAAATCCAACTCCATCAGTTATGACACTTTATTGACATTCACAACAGTGCTTTTATTTTTTTAATTTTTAATTCCTGCGACCTCTGCAGTGAATGGGTGCCATCAGAATGAGAGTCCAAACAGCTGATAAAAACATCACAATAATCCACAAGACTACTTCACATGACTCCAGTCAGGTCTATGACTTAATGGTGGATTTGTTTCTTACAAACATGCAGCTTTTCACTTCACAAGGTGTTAACTGATGGACTGGAGTGGTGTGGATTACTTGTGGATTATTGGGATGTTTTTATCAGCTGTTTGGACTCTCATTCTGATGGCACCCATTCACTGCAGAGCATCCACTGCTGAGCAAGTGATGTAATGATACATTTCTCCAAATCTGTTCTGATAAAGAAACAAACTTATCTACATCTTGGATGGACTGAGGGTGAGTAAATTCTAAGCTAATTTTTATTTTTAGGTGAACTATTCCTTTAAGACATGTTGCATTGCCAGGCAACATAATACAAACACATTTCTTAGCAATCAGTAGTTGGCAGCTGTTCATTAAGTCATTAGGGTTCTTTCCCTCCAAAGAACTTGTCTGAATGCATCAGTGAGTTATATATACTTCACACAAACATCTTGTTAGGTTCGTGAACAATGCTGCTAACAAGTGGATATAAATATCAGCTGGAATGGGTTTCCTTCAAGAGAGATCATGCTTCAGATTTAGCATGAAGAATGGGCAGAATCAGGCCTGTATGCCAGAGAAACAATGCCCTCAAAATATACAGCAGCAGTGAATGATGGGAGGTGCAGGTCATCTCTGATACAATTCAACTGCTAATTTAGCAATGCACATTCATCAAAATGTTATAGCTAGGAATAAAAATGAGATTGTCCTTTGTGGTGACCATGGTGTAGTTTGTTTATAGCCTACGTTTACCTTTTTGTTTTACTTCTGCTGATTGTATTTAGTCTTCAAAATTCATAAAAGTTGCGTTAATTTGTTAGGATTATCATGATGAACAAAATGTATAAGAATCATAAATGTTTGTTGGTCACAGAGCTTATTTTCTGCAATAATCCAAAATCTAATGAAAAAAATCCTTTTGGGGTTTTTGTCGAGGGAACCAGGATGATACAAACTACAAATATAAGTCACTACTGCAGCACTCAATGGCTCTGTCCCAACTGGCACACTTGCTGCGTGGCACAACTGGCAGACTTGCGAAAGGGAAAACACCCTGAGAACAAGTCTTTCTAACAGTCTGGTGCCTAATAATAGCACCTGCACACATAAAATGCACTGATAACAGAAATAACACATGTAAACAATTGCTTTGGTCTAGATTCATTGAATTAGCCGTTGTGCCTTTAAGAAGCTAGTATGTGATTAATTGTGCTCCTACTGACAGACATGCACTGCTGCTTTGTGAAGCAGAGACCTATTTAGCAAACAGGATACGTTCAATTATAAGATAACATTTGCAGTTAACAGTTTCAGATAGTACACTTTTCCTCAGAATGCATTTTTGCTCTTGCGATACATGAAAGTGTTGTAAGTGAAGTCTAGATAACAAAGACTATTATGCACAAGTAATACAAGTCCTGTCTAAGAGTGTTTTGATGTTATTGCTGAAAAGTACTATTTAAAAAGCTTTAATCTGGATTTGAACCAGATTTTAGACAAAATTTGATGAAAAGTGCACTTAAAGGGAAAGTCATCATTTCCTCACCCTCGTGTTGTTCCAAACCTGCATGAGCTTCACAAAAGAGGCTATTTTCAAGAATGTTGGTAACAACGGCTGATAGCCATTGACTTCCATAGTATTTTTTTGTCATACTATGGAATTCAATGGCTACCGTCAACTGTTTTGTTACCAACATTCTTCAAAATATTCTCTTTTGTGTTCAACAGAAGAAAGAAACTCATACAGGTTTGGAGCAACTTGAGGGTGAGTAAATGATGACAGAATTTCCATTGTTGGGTGAACTGTCCCTTTAATTGTAATGAATGTGGACTTGTAGTGTACTTCAGATCTTAAAAGTATAACTGAAAATACCTGCAGTTGGAATAACTGAAAGAGAGACACTCATGTTTAACACTTAAATAGATAAGTTAATTTTGTAATGTCAAAGTTTTACTTTAAAAAGTACATTTTAAATCATTCTTTTAATATTTGCTTGTTGTGTTTTAAATTATAAAACGGATAGTTCCGGTCCTTGATTCTGATTGGCTGAGTCACGTTCGAAGCTGATGTAAATTACTCTACAAACATACACCTTTGTTTACGTTTGTCTGTTGCTTGGCAACTTTGTTGCAACCACAACTGTTTCTGAGGAACTACATTGTTTGGTGGAAGAATACTGTTTTTGTTAATATCATTACACTTTATTTGCTCCGTTTTATTTTGTGAAACCTTACTACGTATATGGAATAACCGTTTTATAAAAGCAATAAGCCCCGTGAAGCCGTGGTGTACAGTGAATTTATAACAGCTAACCGCTTCGCGTCGTGCTTAACAATGGCCCTTAGCTGTTATAAATTCACTGTAAACCACAGCTTCTTGGGGCTTATTGCTTTAGTAAACTACACTTATTTTTTTGTGTTGACTAACATTCTAAAGCATGTGTAAAGTACTTGATTATTTTTTAACTGTAGTGTTATTCAACATAACATTTAAAGTTAATATATCTTAAATGTACTAAATTGCAACTTCATCATTACAAATGTGTAATTACAAATAGATTTTAATACTTGACATTCAAGTTTCAATATAAATAATGTTAAAGTACATTTTGCTTGCCAATACATTCAGCATCACACTTTAACAATTTTTTTCAAAGACAGTATAAGTATAATTCTGAAATTTCATATAAAGATAATAGCATTTACACAAACGTTACATTCAGGCTACGTTTACACTAGTATGTTTTTGTTTTAAAATGCATAACTTTTGCTATGGTTACGCCTGTCGTTTACACTACTTCGGCGTTTTTGACCCTCGAAAACTTTCGAAAACACTGCAGACCCCGTTTTAGTTAGAAAAACTGGGGTTGCGTTTCTGTGTAAACGGACAAAAACTGAGACTTTTGAAAATGATGGGGCGGCCCCCCACATTTGCTCTGCGTATCCTTGACGACCGTGTAAACAATAACATCATGCACATTGTTGTACCCATAGATATGTATAGGTAGATTCCCTATTCGACTGTGCCAAGCACGTAGACGTGTCCGCCATCTTTAACAGTCAACTTGACGTCATTCACCATAATAATCAATAAATATTCGAAGATGCCACAATTCTGCACAGCCTCTGGTTGTAAAAACCGCCGGGATTTTAATTCTTGAAGAAACGTAACCTTTCACAGGTGAGAATGTGCTGGTTTGTGTTTTTTTTGTGTCATATGATGCGATTTCAAATTTTCCTTTCTCTTTGGAGTGTCACAAGCTCTTGGTGCATAAAGAAGATCTGTAAAGTTGCAAAGACTAAAGTCTCAAATCCAAAGATATATTCTTTATAAAAGTTAAGAGTCAGCCACACCTACCTAAAACGGCTCGTTCTAACACACCCCCACATGTCTACGTCACTGTGTGGGAAGATTTGCATAACGCCGCCCAAATGTTCACGCAAAGAAAGAAGGCGTAACTTTTATTCTCGCTGTAGTATTGTTGCTGCCGCCGCCATGTTGTGGAGTCTCTGTGTGTTTCGTTGTGAAAGCGAAACTACTTTGTTTGGTCTTCCAAAAGAGGACGATATCCGCTTCGTCATGCCTGGAGCTGATCCGTGCTGGTCGCAGAGGAAATACAACAACTTAGAGCTGTGGATCGCCGGATTGGCTTTCACCGTGGATGAAGCGGAGTCAAGCCCGGGGTCGTCACATGTGATTGCCGCAAGCCTCCTTTGTCGAATCCGCCAGCCGCGCCGTTCTCGACAATGTGCATTGGCTCGTTTAGTTTACACTCGAAGTAGATTGGTCCCTCTAAGCGAGATCCCAATTCGTCGGTCCTCCGACGTGACGTCGAGAGTGACCGACTGAGAGGGAACTATGTATACATATCTATGGTTGTACCTGCATGAATGGTAATGTGACATGCGTTCTCGGTTGTGTAGTGTGGACGGAGAACGTTTCTGAAATGCAGTGAAACCGCAAGTGTAGATGAGGATTGTTTTAATTTTAAAACGCTGTTTTAAAATGAAAACGCACTAGTGTAAACAGGGCCTTAGGTTCACACTTAAGTATATTCATTAAAGTAAATTCCATAATTAATACCAGTGTTGGGGAAAGTTACTTTTAAAAGTACCGCATTATAATATTGTGTTACTCCCTTAAAAAGTAACTAATTATTTTACTTACTTTTTGTGGAAAGTAATGTGTAACGTTACTTTTGCGTTACGTTTTAACATCTGGGCTGGGCTGTCTTGATTGTTTTTAATTAAAAAAATAATAATTCAAATTTTGGCAAATGTAAAAGCCTTTTCACACCAAAAGTGAATCAGGCTGAAGGAAATTGATTTTTTATTTATTTTTGCTAATTAGTATGTTTGAATTGGATCATCGAAGGTCAGCATCAAAGACATTGGTTAATAATACTGTAAAGGATATTTGTGTTATTTAACATTTAATTATTGCAGGTTTGCGTCATATTCTGATTTTGGATTTTATTCATTTTGATGAATACCAAATCAGTTTTTGAGCAAGTCAAATGAGTAAATGCTCACATTTAGTCTAGAACTACAGTAACATCATGTTCACACAGCGCACACAACGCCTCTGTACTTACGATTTCTCTCAACATGAGGACAGGAGAGCTGTCAGTCAATAATTGGTCAACAGCTGGTGTTACTTATTTGAAACTACTAGTTACTTGAAAAAAGTAATCTGATTACATAACTCGCATTACTTGTAATGCGTTACACCCAACACTAATACTCTTTTTAAAAGTATTTTAAAGTGTGCGTTCTTGATGAGGGTCCTCAAAATGTCGAATGACTGAGATGTTAATCAACATTTCTCCCATTTGACTGCATATATTTCCTTCTGAAATTATGCTTAGCTCTCAAAACACCATAATTTGAAACACTTTTAGCTAATTATTTCTAAATAGAAAAGGAAGTTTTATTGAATCACATTAAAAATCCCTTTCCTCTTTCTTGTCACCTAAAACTGGAACTTAATAGAATGTTGAGATTGTTGTGCCATAAAATATGATGCAATTAGGATTCAAAGCAAACAAATTACATTCACCCTGCGAACGTTTGAACAACTAAAAAGAAAAGAAACTCTGAGATTCTTTAAAAAAAACAACGTTTTTTGACTCAAGAGTTATGTTTGTCGAGTTAAATTACATAGCAGTTAGCAAGACTGCTGATATTTAATATTAGGCTACAGTAGGCTACTGGAAAAGTTTAGTCAAGTGTTTGCGGCAGTTTCTGTTTTTCGTTGTTTTTTTATTGGAATCCAAATATGGGACGTCCCGTGGTTGAAGACGCAATTGAGAATTGCCAAGAGATAACATGATCCTCGACGTGACTGTTAGTGACTTATTAAGCAATGCGTTTTGTTCGAACAGAATGAATTGCTTTTGTTGCCAAACACATTGATTTGACGTTGTGCAAAAGGAAAATGATCTTTCCAGATCCTTGCAAGTGTCAGATCAGAAGTGAACAAAGCATTTAAACTAAACTACAATCTCTAAAAACATCTTATTGTTATTACTTTAAAGTATTAAAATAATCACTTGAAATGTTGTAGGCTATAGCCTATGTGTTAACGTTGCATTTACTATTATATTTCTCATTTAGGCCTATAAAAACATGCTTTTTGTAGGATACACTAATGTTTGCTTCATGCTACAGATGTGTTTCTTGCAACTAGGCAATGAAATCTTCAAGTAAAACTTTAAGAAAATAAAACAAGCAAAAGACCGTTAGCTGTAATATGCACATATTTCAACATAGTCGTTTACCCACCTGTATCTTCGTCTTTGTCTTCCATAACGCACAAAATGCTGGTGAAGTCAGTTTCACAATGATCCTGGCTCCAGCAGCGCTTCGCATTTGTGTTTACTGAGAGCTTTTCCTCAGTTTTGAACTCTGAAAACTGGTCAGTAATGAAGACACGCCCACGATAATGTTCTGGCAGTCTGGTTTTATTAATATGAAGCCCGCCTGATACAACTCACGAATTACAGAATCCTTAAAGGCACAGTACTCTAAAATAAAATTCTTTAATATAGCTACACGCGTTCGTGCAAACTTGTACGGCTCTGGAATGACATGAGAGTGAGTAGAATCTTTTTAAAAAATAGTTTTCTAGGTAATTTATAGACAGTATAGTATCAGCTATGGTGTAACATGAAATGCCAATTACTGTACAACAAAACTAACCGAAAAATGTATGTAATGTATTTCATATTTTTTAGAACATGATAGACTGTCATAATTGTCTCTGTGTAACAACTTTAAGAACAACAACAATCACAATAAATGTTCTTTATGAGCAGACATGGTGAAATTTGTAAAAGTATGACAAAAGAAACAATATAGCCCTACTGTAACATAATATTTTACCCAAAATCAAAGGGGAAAAAAATGAAATCACCAATGAGATTAAATATGGAATCTCGTTTATGTCATAGCACTTAAAATAAAATAAAAAATATATCTGCAACTTTTTTCATCTCTAAATTCAGACTTTTTTCTCGCAATTGCAGTTCACATTTCGCAATTCTATTTTTTCGCTTCCACCACAAAATTAAAAATTAAAAAGTTAAGAGCGACTTTTTATCTCACGACTTTTCATTTTTTCTCGCAATTGCAATTTTATATCTCACAATTCCAACGTTCCTCAGATCAGAAGATTACGAGTTTATTTCTCGCAATTGCGAGTTAACATGGAAAAACCAAGAAAAAATATCTAAATTTTCAGACTTTTTTCAGAATTGCAAGAAAAATGACAGAACTGTGAGATATAAACTATAAAAATATAAATTGCGTGAAAAGTTATATTTTTCCAAAACGTCAAAATATACATTTTTATCTCGTGGTGGAAACAAGCTTCTGTACTTTTAAGAATTACATACTCAAAATAAAACATTTTGAAAGTTTACAGTAATGTTTTTTTTCATTTGATTTTGGAAAATACAGATAAAGTGAAATGCAGATGCTCTATATGCTCTACCTAGTACATCTAGATATTCTACGTTCTATCTTTTTTCAATTTTCTTATAGTTTCTTTGTAATAATGCCAATGATGTTTAACCATTAATAGAAAGAAGATATAACTCTTTGACGGGTCTAACGGACAGCAACGGCAGCACAGGCATTATACAGCAGTCTAAAGGATGGAGCAACAGCAGCATTTGGCAGGGTAATCCTTGGTGTAGACTTTGTGTTCGGTTCCATATACAAAATAAATGTGGGTTTTCTCATTCCAGGCGTAATGCACTCGTGTGATGGGAATTAGCTCAATGGTCTGCCTCTGGAAAATGAAAGACAGGGTCAGAACATGCTCTGTCTCCATACAATATCAAATTTTCTTCATCAACTATTCCTTACATCTAACATTTCTAAAACAGTTTCACTATTAATACTTTTAGAGAAATAGTAATAAAAGATAAAGCCAAACCACTTAAAAGAGTTTTTCAAGAATGTACAGTGAATTTTATCTGACATGAGCCTATTATGTTGTTGTTGTTCAGCTTTTTGTTTAATATAGTTAAAGTTATCTAGAATCTTGTCAACATTTGTGTCTTGTTTGTATGAATATATGGGAATTTTCAGACTGCTTTCTGACAAGCTATAATCTGGTGGACTGAGCCAACAGGAAGAGGTCATTTAATTAATTCCCAGAAGAACGGGAGGCTGAGATGTGGATTTAAAGAGACAAGCGCAGGTTTTTGGGATTTCATCAGAGGGAGTGTTTGATTTGTTTTAATACCTGTTGCAGAATACGGCAAGTTGTGGCGAACTGAGCCTGGTGTTCCCTCACGGCACTTTCAGACGCTGCGTTTACAGAGCTGTCGGGGAAGCTGACAACTGGATAAACCTGCAGTGATGAGTCAAAACTTCAGTGTCAGTGCCAAACAAACAAGGCTGTGTTGTAAAATGATCGTTGCATTCATATTAGGCGTCAAATCATGTTTTTATTTTTTTTTTTCCAATTACAATCTTTTGCAACTTTTTTTTCCCTTAACCCTCATGTTGTGTTCTGGTCATGTTGACCCAGAGAGGATTTTCTTTTTCCCAAAAATGCTAGTTAATGTTATCACATTGGACTAAACCTTACTGACTTTGCTCACACGGAATATAACAATTTCCCAAAATATGTACTGTATGTATGTTTTGCCATTTTTTCCCACCTTGTTACATTTGTAGTGTTCCTGATCAAAAATGATTGGCCTCTAAAAAATTGCTAATAAATTTCTCATTATGCTATATTATTACCAAATATTGAATTATTAACTTGTATTCTTTCAGTCAGCACATTGTTTTATATTTGTTTTTGGAACTGATTAATTGTAGGCCTTAATGATCTTAGCTTACACACCTCCACAAATAATGCTTTATTGATACTATAATAATGCAAATAAAAATAATAACAAAAAGATTGAATGTAAGATTTGGTGATAATATAGCATAATGAGAGATTTACAAGCTATTTTTAAATTAGTTAAAGGATTTTCAGCATAGCACAAAGGCTAAACGTATTTTTTTATATTTTATATCACAACGCCTCTGTACTTACGATTTCTCTCAACATGAGGACAGGAGAGCTGTCAGTCAATAATTGGTCAACAGCTGGTGTTACTTATTTGAAACTACTAGTTACTTGAAAAAAGTAATCTGATTACATAACTCGCATTACTTGTAATGCGTTACACCCAACACTAATACTCTTTTTAAAAGTATTTTAAAGTGTGCGTTCTTGATGAGGGTCCTCAAAATGTCGAATGACTGAGATGTTAATCAACATTTCTCCCATTTGACTGCATATATTTCCTTCTGAAATTATGCTTAGCTCTCAAAACACCATAATTTGAAACACTTTTAGCTAATTATTTCTAAATAGAAAAGGAAGTTTTATTGAATCACATTAAAAATCCCTTTCCTCTTTCTTGTCACCTAAAACTGGAACTTAATAGAATGTTGAGATTGTTGTGCCATAAAATATGATGCAATTAGGATTCAAAGCAAACAAATTACATTCACCCTGCGAACGTTTGAACAACTAAAAAGAAAAGAAACTCTGAGATTCTTTAAAAAAAACAACGTTTTTTGACTCAAGAGTTATGTTTGTCGAGTTAAATTACATAGCAGTTAGCAAGACTGCTGATATTTAATATTAGGCTACAGTAGGCTACTGGAAAAGTTTAGTCAAGTGTTTGCGGCAGTTTCTGTTTTTCGTTGTTTTTTTATTGGAATCCAAATATGGGACGTCCCGTGGTTGAAGACGCAATTGAGAATTGCCAAGAGATAACATGATCCTCGACGTGACTGTTAGTGACTTATTAAGCAATGCGTTTTGTTCGAACAGAATGAATTGCTTTTGTTGCCAAACACATTGATTACCAAATATTGAATTATTAACTTGTATTCTTTCAGTCAGCACATTGTTTTATATTTGTTTTTGGAACTGATTAATTGTAGGCCTTAATGATCTTAGCTTACACACCTCCACAAATAATGCTTTATTGATACTATAATAATGCAAATAAAAATCATAACAAAAAGATTGAATGTAAGATTTGGTGATAATATAGCATAATGAGAGATTTACAAGCTATTTTTAAATTAGTTAAAGGATTTTCAGCATAGCACAAAGGCTAAACGTATTTTTTTTATATTTTATATTATATATATATATTATTTTACAAAACAAATTATCGTATTAATAAATATTATTATTAAATATACATATTTTAGTTTATTATGACCACTTCCAACCTTTTCTAACCTTAGAATTAAACAGGCCATTTTTGCTGCTGCACCTTTAAGAAACTGCTTTTTTGCATGTGAAATTAGCAACCGTTTTGAACTCTTTCACTGGTCTGTATGTTTGAAATATGCTGCTTAGACTGAAATAATCAGAGATTTGGTTAAAAATAGACTACTGAGAAACATTGGCATCATTTCAGGTAGAAATGTAGAGCTGTAGGTGCTACACAGCGGCCCACGTTTCTATTTCAACAAATTTGGTTTCAATAAATGGCCTTTATGGACTGATTTTGAGTTCAATATGTTTCCATATTTCTCAAAAAACAGGAAATTGATCATGTTATGACCCCATTAAATAACAAGGCATCGAGAGCTCCACAGTGTTTTTGCTCACCACTGCAGCCATATCAGTAAGAAGTCTCTCTCCAGTAATTTGATCAAGAAGCTCAACCGGGAATCCCGAACCCTTGTCAATCACAGCCACGTTCATGTTGTTCTTCCTGAGAAGATAAAACGAAGAAAAACAAACAAACAGATGAATAAACAGTGAACTTGTTAAATTGTGTTGTGAAAATGGGTGTTAACCATCGTCTTCTCACCATGTCATTTTAAGTTTGATGAAACAGAGGAGCTTTCCTTGCCCTTTGCATGTTTTGCAGGTGATTGAACCGACTCCTCCACAGGAATGACACCTGGAATACAGAGAATTGAATGAGTACTGTATTCTTACATCTTCTGAGGAAAATGTGACTGGTTTTGACCCGCACAAAACCAACAGCCACAATGCTGGGATGTTCTGGGTGGTTGCCAAGCTAGAACAGACTAATGGGACACCATTTCCGCAGTGGAGTAAAAAAATATAAAATGAGAAAAATGAAAGTTAAAAAAGAAAGAAAGAAATAAGACGGTAAAGCCAGATTTGCATATTGAATATATTGTTTATTTTTGCACTGGAACTCTATATTGACCAAATTAGCATCAGAACCAAAGCCGTCTATTTTGGATACTAAATGTACAAATCAATTTTTGAGGAATGTCATCATTGCTATAGTAGCAAGTTAATTATTAAAGCACCCTATCTGAATGTTATTTTTCAGAAGGTATGGATAATGCCCAACACATTTTTGTTTAATAACAA